CGGTGTCGTACGTGTCGTGTGTGTGTGTGTGTGTGTGTGTGTGTGTGTGTGTATGTGTGTGTGTGTGTGCGTGCGTGCGTGCGTGCGTGCGTGCGTGCGTGCGTGCGTGCGTGCGTGCGCGTGCGCGCATTCGTGTGTGCTACCATATACTAGTCTACATCGTTATATCTAGTCTTCCTGCAACAGTTTTGCGGTCATTTAAGCAGGTCGGGGATCCCACGGACGCGGTGTTACGAACCACCTCTCTCTCGCCACAGTTGCATCGCGAGCTTTTCGCGTTGAGTCGCATTCGGGTTAACACGTTAGTGAGATTTAGACGGTGATTCGAATAACTTAATTGCGATCGAAGATGATCATCTTTTTATTATAGTCCGTATTACGGTTTGTAATAAACCGATGAAAACGCAAATTTGAAAATGTTGTGTCTTTAAACGTATTTTTCGAGGGTCTAAGCTTAAATTAGGCTTAACTTTGCTTTTGTCAAAGTTTTTTCCGATACGTAGCAAAATATCGAATCGTCAAATATCAAGTTTCGATTATCAGTGCGAAATTAATGATTGATGACTGAATACGATACTTAATCGCAATACTATATATCCGAGGAATTTTTCAAAATTGAAAAAATTTATTATTTCATATTGTGTGACCGCATCGGATGATATCTTCCAAATTTTTTACCTTACATTTAGATATGACTGTTTTGCGGAAGTATCTACTCTCATGTTTAATACGATAGTATTGTACAATAATACAATAGTGACTAAATTATGGACGATTATTAATAGTGTTAAGTCTTCTCCAAATTAAAATATCTCATATATTTCATATATTTTTTGTATATATATTATCATGAAATAGTTTGACTAATATTTCCTCTTTGATTTAAAATGCGTCATTTTTCTAGTTATTTTTTGTATTCATAATTATAATAATTGCGGTATCGTATGCGTAATAAATGGTAAGACATGAATGAAAATATTTTGATGGTACACATAGACACATAGGTAAATACGTGAAAATACAATTTCTGTCACAATGAAATATATAAAAATGTTATTTGATTTGAAAATCTTTTCGAAAAAGCAATAATACAATTGCAGTTATACTCTTTATGTATATATAAATATGTATACGTAAATATAAAAGGACAAAAAAGATGATGCAGAAGAAGAGGAATGGAGAATCCAGCGAGGTCTGCATAAATTTTTAATAATCTTAACATTATATGACTTAATTGGAATGTTCAACTAATGTTAGAAATTAACGAAAGAAAGTAGCAGAAATACTTAAAATTTTATTTGAAATCATCTTTAACAGTTATTAACAATTCTGCATGGATTTTCCTATCGATTTCGCTACACTTATAATTTTTATGAGAACGAATATTGTAAGCCTTTTGTTTAATCTCCATTTGATGAATCGAGTTTGTTTCAAAGCTTACTTATTAATGCTATTCGAAGATTTCTGTTTTCTCCAACGGACGAGACAATACCTATATAAAGGTTTATTTTCAGTTATGTATTTGGATTGAATTATATTTTGAATTTTTTTATTTCTGCAACACACACATACACGTGGACGCATATACTCACGCGTAATGGCAATTCTAAAAATCATATCTGAATTTCTTGTTTAAGTGAATTGCTCTTAAGCGAAGCAAATTATCCAGCATCTCCATTCTTCTCAAAATATTTAAAGGGCTATATACTCTTAGGACATTTAAACTTAGGAAATTAAAACTTGAACTTTGAGAATTTTTTTTTCAAAAAATTTATTTTAATTAAAAAATTATTGTATATACCAAAAAGTGTTTTTAAATGTGTTTTTAAAAGTGTTTTATAATTTTTGTAATTTGTTACAAAATTCTTAAAATTGAAAGCGTGAAACTGATGTGTGTGTTGCGTTTTTTTAAAATAGTTTTTGCCATTGTATAACCATTGTAACCATTTGTTGTTTATTATCCGAAACGAAAAATAAAAATTAATAAAAATAAAAATTTTCTTGAAAAAGATTTTAAAAAATTAGTTTTTGTCGTAGTCGATTTTAAAAATAACAATTTTTCGCAAAATGGTGGCCGTTTGAATGTAGATTTGTGAAGTTTTAATGAAAAGATCATATTTCCCGAATTTATGAATCATAACGTTAAAAAAAATTCTATGACAAAAACTTGATAATCATATAAAAAATATCTGAAAAATTTTAAAGCTTAATCGATCAATTAAGTTATCAAGATATATTGGTTACCGTTTTTTAAAACATCACATTTTGAGAAAAATGTTTTTAAAGATTTAGGTAAGATTATTAATGATAAATTTTTTTTTTATTTACATTGAATCATCGATTCCCGGACCATGTAACTATATAATTCTTTTTTCTACGATGTACTGGCCAAATGGATTCTGAAAATGAAGGTTCATTTTTAACAACAGTTATCTGTATATTATAATCTATATTATCTATATTATCTATATTATATTATATTATCTGTATTATCTATATTATCTACATTATCTATATTATATTTGTACGCTATGGCCGATTCTTACTCCTCCAACTAGCTGCCTATATAGGCTGTAACTTCATTTTTGTAAATTTTTTAATGAAAATTTCAGGAAATATAGTTCAAAAGTTACATATCAATAAAAATATTTTGGAAAAATCGATTTTTTTCGATCCAGCTAAGTGTATCTGGCCCATTAAGAAAGATTTATCTTGATGAAATTTTGATGCTACAAATGTGCTATATACTTAATATATATTTAAAATTATACGTCACGTTTTACATACATGTTAAATCTGTATATAAAAAAAATACAGTTTTCCCCCCCATTTTGACTATTTAAGAAAAAAAAACTTTTGCGAAATAAAATTTTGTGTACAATTGAGTTTATTACTGTGTGCACAGAAATTAATATAACAAGAAGAATGTAGAAGCGTACAGAAATTTTTATTAATACAAGTATACAAGAGAGAAGCTGCATCATTCAGCTGCATCACGTTCGATTGATAACACTGTATATACTTTTCTGTATAGATAAAGCGTTACAACACTTTCTCTTAGAGAGACACCGCATGAAAAAGAAACGGTATATAAGAGGCTTAAGGAAAGAGATAAATAACGAGGAGAGGACAAATAAGCGAGATGTGCCAAAGGAATACGGAACGAGCGAGAGCGAGAGCGAGACGAAAGAAGAAAAAAAAAAAATTAACGAATAGGAGGGGATAGAGATACTCGTCTCCTCCTCTCCCGTATCAGCAGTTAACACTCAGTCTCCTCGTGACTGCTCGTGACGTTGGTGTGATTGCGCCGCCCTGTCAGTACCGTCGCACTTTCGTAACCCGTCGCTTTTGCATGGCACGTGTGCACCTTAGTGTCGGTCCACAATAGGTTTAGATTTAAGCTTTAAGAAGTAAGAAATTGATCAATTATAATCGAATATGAAAAGAATACTCGACTATATGATTAGTCAATTTTTTTTACGGCTTAAAGATTAAATACTTATTGTGGACCGACACTTACCTGCGCTATTGCGTTAGAGATACCTGTAGCGAATAGCCAGAAACGAGTGCGTGGCGCGGGTGCGCGCACACCAAACTTTTTTTACGCCGTACGTAACCTCGCTCGATGTTATCCCCTTTGGCCGGCCATCGCCGATAAACGACAAACAAGTGGAATTTTCAGTTTAACTTAAAGCACCAAGAGCAGCAATAGCAGCATGCCGACTACGAGAGTACGTGCACTTGCGCTAAGAAGATAGGTGTAATCTCAAATCTAATCTGATGGTATATTCGATTTGTTTGAGAGTCTAAGTCGAAGTCAGATATCCCCATAGTCAGATTTCCCTGCCTGCGAAGAATGAACGTGTAAGGGGGAAAAAAAAAAAAACCAGATCTGTTTCAGTTCGATTTCGATTCGGAATCGGCAAATCGAATATATGCAATAAAACGGTGTTGAACGATTGAATCGAATTAAAGATAAGGAGCCGCTTTGAGCTCTCTATTTTAATTTTTTCAGACGTTATCTCTGTCGAAGTATGTCATGCGAGGTGTTTCAATTTGGTCAACTAAAATATTTTTCTATTGCTAGACTGACGATACGAGAAAAGATGTGCGAGAGTACTATTTGAGATCTGTATTGTAATATCTTCCTTATCTATTATATCATTACAACAGAAATATTCAAATAGGAGTGATTAAAACGATAGAATAAAGAGTTAAGAATTTCCAAAGACTTTCCAATCTCTGTGCACGCAGATTTCTCGCAATCCTTTTTTTATTCTTAATTTTTTGTTAAAAGGTTGCCTGTAAGAAATTTTCAAATATGAGTAAATATGTGTAATACATCTGATTTCTTAAGAACTTATTCTTTAATTCCGAAATGATGAATAAATGCAAATTTTTATCGATCGACGTTACATCGCAATCGCGTAACATGTGAATTTTGTGGAACCTGAACAATAATTATAATTTAGACAAATTATATGTATGTAAAACTTAAAAATAATAATTATAACTGACCGATACCTGAAATACCTTGTATTATTCTTATCTTTAGACAGGACTATAGTTTAAACTTGCAGAGTGACTTGCGGTGACTTGCTTGATTACGTTATTTTTTTTATCATTGAATATCGATGATTTTTTATTAATGTTATTTTTTATTAATGATTTACTCGCTTCCATCTGTTTTATCTTTTCTTGTTTATCTATTTCGTTAAAAGTTTAGAAAATTTTTTGATAGACTTTCGTCCTTGCAATTTAGACAATTCTTTTATCAAGTGGTGTGTGTTATGTATCGTTGTATGTAAAATTAAAGCATTTTTTTTATGTCGTGTCGTTTATGTGTCGTTAATCATCATTGATCTAAGTATTATATTAGATTTGTAGATTGACTCTGAATCAACTCAACTTCTTTGCTCTCAGTTTTTTGCTCTTTATAGCGATTTTATGTTGAATAATTTGCCCCCTCTCTCCCCCCTCTCTCTCTGGCATGCGCGCACGTGTGTTGGGGGGGGGGGGAGGGACGGAGTGCACGCGCGCGCGTGCACTTTTCAACTTGTACACGTTGCACGCCCCCTTCATTTCCAAATCTCTAAGAGGAAGAAAGAGAAAAGGAGGATTGACCTTGTGTACAAATAGGTTATCGTTTTTATTACGTTAGCAAACACAGAGTGTAACTCTTGTGTTATCTTTTTCTATGTCGCATACTCTTAAAGCGTCTTACGTAAATGATTATATATGTTCATAGCTAAAAATGATAAAATGCAGCACATGATGACAAACAGCGTAATGAATTACACGGTAAAAAACATTTTGTATTTGTGTTAAAATCGGTCCTTATTAAAATTTTTGTGTTAAATAACCTACATATTTATATATAAATTTAACACATATCTACTATACGTTAACTGACCTTAACAAATATAAAATGTAAAATTATTAAAATGATTTAAGAAATGTGTTAAAATTTACACAAAAAAATGTTGGTTTTACTCTATAACAGGAGTGGGGATGACTTGTTATTATTTTTTGTGTAATTTCGGCATAGTTTCGGTATAGTCTCGAATTTTGACACGTCTCGTTATCGCGACATGTTATTTTATCATAAAAATTATGTTAATTGTAACACACAATTAACTTCAAATTAAGATCAAGAGTACATTTCTTTTTTGTTGAAATATTAACATAGTGTCGATATTACTATTTAACACATCCATATTATGTTAAATTAACACAAAATTTTGAGTGGACCGTTTGGGACATACGATTTATCTTAAATTCAATACATTTTTTCCAACAGTGTACAAGTGATTTTAAAATGATCATTTTTTTGTTAAATTTTTGCAATAAGCTTTTTCAGTTTTTGTAATCTTATCGCGTTATTTGTATAATCGCTACACTATACAAAGTATATGATTCCGCCTCCTTAATACATATAATCATTTTATTTCGGGAATATAATTTTTTTAGATTTTGTTGAAATATATGAAATATTTTCCATATACAAATATACATTATGTAAAACACTGATAAGAATAAGAAGAAAATATCGTATATATATATATATATATACAATGAAAATTTGTTTTGAACATAGATAAAATAAAGTTCTTTTTATAACGAGTTATCCATCCATAAAAGGGACATTGTTATTAATTTACTTTATTATAAGGAAGATTATTGAAAGAATTGCAAAATACTTTTAATATAATTAAACTGTTATCGATAAAAGATTTTGCATTCTCAATGTCCTTGCGAGCATTAGCTAATTTCAATTGTTTCTGGATCCCTTTAGATCGTTTTTTTGTAAGGCGCAACGTTAATGTTCTCGTTCTATAGATCTTGGTGGCGAATTCAATAATGATCTTTATAATCAGGAGACACGGTAGTATCTCGGTCTATTGTTCACGACATGACTGAGAAAATATTAAATAGAAAAAAAAGAAAATAATTTGCCCGAGACGAAATAAAATTCGTCTATTATACGAAATGTTATTTTTAAGAGAAAATTAATTTCAATACGTTTCATCGTTCTCAATTTTTTCACGGATACGTGCTACAACAATTGAACCATTCGGTGTTTCGAAGATTCTTCCGTAAATATTGTAAGACTATTGTTTAATTACGTAGGATTTGCCGTCAATCATACGTACTAGAATAATATTGATCCAAAAAAATCGGAAAGTAAATAATTCGTCGGTCAGAAACTTGTCATCGTCTTTCGAATGCGCTGGGAACTTTTCTCTTTATTCTTGTTATGTCATACGATTCTTCCGCTGAATAACGAATTTTTTATACCGACAACGGAAAATTTATAAAATATAATAGACAAATACACGATAGATTATTTATAAAATATAGAGACTTTTTTTTATTAGAACATTTTTATTCTTATTCTCATGAAAGAGAAAAATGAAAAGAGAAAATGAAAGAGAAAAAAGAAAAGAGACATTTTTAATAATACTTATTCAGAAATAGTAATACTTCGTACAAAAGTATTATACTGAATTATTTCCTCCTCGTTTATATATATATACATTTTGTCTATCTACAAAATTGTGTCTATGCAAGGTGGATATATTGATGACGTATCGATGATATCTGGTGCAATTATATTCAGCGTTTCTTCTAGCGTTTCTCTTTATAGATTATATTATCATATCAATTGCCAGAGTTGATATATGTGAATTATGATAGTCTTTTTGAGTGATATTGAAATAAATTAGAGAGTGAGAAAGAAAGGTGAGAGAGGGCGGAAAAGGAGAGAGAAATTTAAATGTACGAAATAGATCTTACATATCTATTGTGTGTAGGCAAACGACTTTTTTTTTTGACAAAGTTCTAATACTCATTCGCCCACACACTATAGATGTATATTTGACCAAAACGAAAGTATTTATATGACTTATAAGTATTATATCTTCAGTTTAATATATTATTTACTATGCGCGTATAAGAAAAAATTACAATGCGTGAATTAGTCTAGCAATATTGCCGGTCTTCCTCCGATCGAACATTTCGTTTTTGTCATTTATATTTGGCAAACTTGATATTATTTATCGTATCTAGGATCTGTTCTCTTTTTCCCGGACACTGTCCTCTTTTTTAGGGCGTCCAGGAACGTCCGGGGAGATTTTCTAAAAATGTCCAGGATAATTATAAGCATTCGGGAAATTCAAGAAATCTTCTAAATATTTTGTTCTGATTCCTCTCGCACATTATTCTACATTACCAAATAGCACAGACATCACATAAAAGAGTTAAAATTTTTTAATTTTCTAATACCTAATAAAACTTAATTAATAGCTATCTGTAATAAAACTTTTTATTTTAAATCAAAATAGTCTATTTATTTATTTTCCAGTTCAAATTTCTCTGCTCTGAATGTTAATGAACAATTAGATGTGAAATAATGATTCATTTATTGTTCTAATCAATTTTATTAATTTAAGCGCATTTTTGTCCGGGGTTGCAATCGAAATGTCCGGAGTTTTTGGTTGTAAGTTTTGAAAATTTTAATAACGGCAGCTCTAATTGTATCGTAAATAAAAGTGAATAATATACACATAATTTTTCTTTATTTTTAAGATGTTGATTTAATATAATATTGAATCGTCGATAAAATATGACATAGTAAAGTATAGTAAAGTTATATTTTATTTTATAACTGATTTAATTACGCAAAACAATTTTCTATTTTTTATCTTCTACCTTTTACATACACGTAAAGAATTTATTTAAATAAGATAAAAAAAAAGAAGATATAATTTTTTTTTCTATGACACATTTGTGAGATCAAACGAGCCCGTCGAAGACGGACGAAGTTTGATCAAAATTATATGAAACGTCTCGTTCGAAGATGATAGTATTGTAGTGTTGCTTGTCATACCTCATATCATAACGTTTAACGTATAGCACTTTTTAAATATGGCGCCTCAGCCTCCTTCGATCCTCGATCCCTTGCCAACTTCATATTGTTTTGTGTAAGAATTTAGAATTATCAGTGAAGATGATAGTGGGTGGTAAGTTATTATTATTATCATTTGGGAAGAAATATACCCGGGTGGGAGACTATCATCTTCGAACGAGACGTTTCATATAATTTTGATCAAACTTCGTCCGTCTTCGACAGGCTCGTTTGATCTCACAATTATATTACATGTCTCGTTCTCAATGATAGTATTGTAAATTTTTAGCGACTGTGATAATGCTTTTTTATTTGTCTTTTATTCTTCTTCTTTCTTTTTTTTTCTTAATAAGATCAGAACACAACTCTTATACACATAAAAAAGTAACTTAAAATTATTGTAAAATTGCTCGTGCAAATTGGTCATTAGCTGTTCGAATGGGTCTGTTATAAAATCTAAAAAAGGTCTGGGAAATCCATCCGGCGCTCTGCCTTATAACAAAGATGTCAATATCCCTATTATGGACCGCAAACACCGCTGCGTGTCTGGTATTATACGCTGTAAACTGATTTGTGTCGATGCCTGCTTTCTTAAGAACTGATTTGATCCAATGGCCAATGATTTATGAGAATACTGCTCCAAACGGTCTCCTTGTTGCAATGAATAACACTTTGTTATCCTTTTCTCTTAAACTCTTAGTACGCTCCCAATATTCTCCCAATACTGTCGAAGCTACGCATAAACCTGGTTTCTCTTTAAAAAAAGGTAATATTAGCTCGGGGTGAAATGCCCCTGGTTTTGAAGTCTAATCCGATCAGTGATTTTGATGTTTATACCAGTCTCAGATCTTGTAATGTTATCGATATTTATTAATGATAAAGTTTGAAGTCTTTGAACAGTAGTTAATGCTAGGAGCATTGCTACTTTTCCGGCAGCATCCCTCAATTTCAATTCTTTGAGTGACTGCAATCTTTCAAGATAATTCAAGACTGGTATAACATCCCAGGCTATATCTTGGTTTGGTTGGTTTTTGTTTATACATGCCCCTCATTTTTCACAGTTTTGACTTCAGCTCTCACTTTTCGTATGGAAAATGTGAAATAACATAGGTGACCTCTCAGAAAAGTGTGACACTTATTGTGTACATAGTGAGATCTATGTTCTCGTTGAACTTGCTCACAAAAACACCCTGTCAAGTCTTGTTGACTTTGACTCTCACTTTTCGTGTGAAAATGTGAAGTACCAGTATGTTAATCCTCTCAGAAGGTATTACTTACTACTTAAGTTAGACATAGCAGATGTGCTAGTAGAAGGTTGTTCTGAATGAATCACCCTCCAACGATCTTTGTATCTATTTGATTCTGTAATTTGTCGATCTTATCGTCTCTTCTTCTTTTCCTCCCATGGCGATCGCGATCACGCGATCGAAATCTTGAATGCTTACTCTTCTTGTGTTCTGACATTGTTCTTACTTTGAGAATGTAATAAATTTTTGCGGGCTATACCGAAAAATGTTAGTTCGGCAGTTCGATAGTTCGGCGGCACACGAAACAATATGAAGTTGGCAAGAGATCGAGGATCGAAGGAGGCTGAGGCGCCATATTTAAAAAGTGCTATACGTCAAACTTTGTGATATGAGATATGACAAGAGAACGAGACATATAATATAATGTACAAATGTACAATGTTTATACATTTTTTAACAAAATGATATTAAAAATTTGAACGAGAAGAAAAGGTTCTCAATAATTCTCAATAATTTGTCATGGAATATATACAAACAGTAATTATATCTATATTATTTTTAACATTAACGTATAACGTGCACCATGTAAGAATACATTCTTGTAAATACTGCATATTCAAAACAAATATGTATTTAAATTTATATATGTTTATATACGTGCGTGCATACGTGCATAAATGAAACATGCATTACATGATTGACAAATTAATAAATAAATTAATAGACAATTTTATTATTATATTTGTTATTTTTTTATTTTCAAAATATAATTATAATGTATTTTGTATTATTTTATAGAATATGCTACGTCGCGAATTATACAAATTACGAATTGCTCTTACTTTATTACTCACTTACTACTCATTAGACAAAAAAAAAGTTGACTTAAGTTTCCAATTTGGAAACCTGTATTTTTTTTTTTAATATTATATCGTTTTGTATTTTGACAATATATTTTTGTGTTTTTTAAGTAATACTAAAACTTATTAAATATTAGATATATCGTTCATTTTTGATGCCTCATGTTACAGGGTTCCGGGTACTTGAAACGTGCAAATACTGAACGCCTCCATGAAATTTTTAACCAGGTAAGCGAACAAAATGTTTGCATAAATTATTAGAAACATGAATAAGTTTCGAGCAATCTTTAAAAATATAAATTTAATAATCTTAAAACTTTATTATTGTTTTCTATTAATTATGATATGTTTCTCTTTTCTCTCTTGATTAATTTGTGTCTTCTCTGTAATGAATATATTTTGTGGTATAAAAATAATTTTGAATAATCAAAATTATTGGAAATTTAGTCAATATTTGCCTTATTTTTATATTTGCAATATTTTGTTATTTCAAAATTTAATTTATAACATAATTTTTATTATGTATCCTCTTATATTTCTTTGAATTTTTTTCTTAATATAGTAATTAACTTCTCGTTGCTTACTAACTATTTTTCAATTATTATAAGTTTTTGTCATACAATATTACTAATATCTCTAAATATATGAATGACAATTCAGTGTATTATTTTCGTAAAATTTACAGTACGCTTCACAAGAGAAGAATGGCGAGAGGTTCATGACTGCGTCTGACTTTGTACGCAGTTATCTTGGTCTTTACACAGATGCCGATTACAATCCCGATTCTGTCAATTTACTTGCTGGTATCGTTGACACCAGCAAAGATGGGTAAGTTTTACATTGATACTAAGCGTATAATATTACATCATGCTCTTTTCTTTACATCTTATTAATTATCAATTACAAATATATGTAAAATTATTTGTTCCCTTAAAATAACGTAAATTATAAATTTTTTATTTTATATATACATATTTATAAATTTATATAATGTGAATAATGGAATGTATTTTTAATATATTTTTCAAAGTTTAAAAACAAAAATAAACAAAATTTGTTTTTAAATGAAGTAATTTATTATGCAATTAATATTGTTTTCTTTCAGGCTCATATCATTTGCCGAATTTCAAGCATTCGAAGGTCTTCTCTGTGTACCAGATGCTTTATACAAAACAGCTTTTCAACTCTTTGATACTAATGGAAACGGAATGGTTGCATTTGGTAAGAATTATAGTAAAACTATTGTTTTCCTCTTCAAAATAATGTACGTATATGTATATTATACAGTTATATATATTTTTTTACCAATTGGTGTGTATTGCAGATGAGTTCGTTGAGGTGATGCGGAAAACTGTATTGCATCAAAAGATGCCTTTTAATATGGATAGTAGTTTTGTCAAACTCTACTTTGGAAAGGATAAGAAAAGATTGATCAGCTACGCAGAGTTTAGTCAGTTTTTGCATGTGAGTATTTTGTTCCGTCGTATGCTTGATCGCGGATTAAGCTTGTTATTCTTATCCAGGAAATGAGCCAAGTGTGACGTAACGAGTGACAATGATTATGAAATATCTAAATAGCATCGTATGTTTTGTTTTTCACAGTGACACATGATATACATGTAATTCGGCTAAAGCATTTTAAAGGATCGCGAAGTAACGCGCGCGCGTTTTTTATTTTAGAATATTTTCCATATAATTTATAAAAAAGTTTTACTGTGTATATATATATGTATATATATATGTAAAAGATGTAACTTTAAGGAAGCAGTTGCAGATTGTGATATAAAAGTAGACTAAGGGTAAGATTTAAGTACTTAAATGATGATTGTTCTTAGGATTTCCATGAGGAATATGCAATGGAAGCTTTTAAGAAATTTGATAAAAATGGCGCAGGTTTCATTTCAGCGTTAGATTTTCAAGACATCATGCTCAGTATTAAAAGTCATTTACTCACGAAAGACGTGAGGGATAATCTAATTGCTGTAAGTATTGTTTAGAATAAAAAAATTTGTAACTTAATTGAATTTTTTATAATGTTTTTGTTATAGTAATTTATGTAAAGATAAGCGTGCAAATAAATAATTTGAATATATTCGCGTGTGCGTACGCGTGCGTGCATATATGTGCGTATGCGTATATGTGTGTATGTTTAGTAGATATACAGAATATTTGTTAATTGCGAGTAATTATTAATCTGTATATTTCAGTCATTTTAATATAAAATAGTATTATAAAATTTACATTTAACATGTGTGTATTGATACGATAAATTTTATTTTCATATATCGCAGGCAGTTAATGCTGGTCAAAGCGGGCGAAAAGTTAGTTTTCCATACTTTATGGCATTCAATTCTCTTCTAAACAATATGGAACTTATCAAACGTATTTATTTAAATGCAACCAACGGCCACAGATACCAGGAAGTTACCAAAGGTAATCGATTTTGAAAGAAAATTATAAAACAGACCATGTAATTATCGAAAGTTTTCTTTTTTCTTTATTATCGATATCATAAAAACCGTATGAAAGAGAAAACAATTTTTTCATTTAATAACATAACTAATATAATATGATGCAAGTGATAAATCTGTTGAATTAATTAGTAACTCATATGCTAATTTTGATCGATATGATATAAATTTGGTGTATAAACTTCGATGAATTGAACAGATATTGATAGATTTTAGCCTTAATTTAAGCATTAATTTTTTTTATTAGAGGAATTTCTTTATTCTGCACAAATGATGTCCCAGATAACTCCGTTGGAAGTAGATATCTTGTTTCATCTTTGCGATTTACTTCATCAAACTGGGTAAGTATTTTTAATTGAAATGGACTATGAAATATTCTTTCTTTTGTTGGTTGATCGAGAAAAGATTACGCGAAGAAAAGACGAAGCAGAACAGTCGCTTTGACAGTGACCTTGACAAATTATTTAAAGTTTAAAAAAGTTGAGAAAGCTATTAACGCTAATCATCAAAACAAATATAAAAAAAAACAATAAATTACGTAACATTATTGTTGCACCATCAAGCACATCGTCATCATCCAAATGTCAATGTATGTCTCATTCTTGGCAATAAAAATTGACATTATTGTACAAAGTAATTCGTTTCTAATAGCTAAGTCTATATCTATAATGCATAACTATATATTATTTTCCGATATTTAATGTGTTGAAATATATTTCACTGAAAGCATTTGTTTACGTGTTTACGCTGCCTGGATTAGACCTACGGAAGATGACGAGGCAGATTCGCGGCTTGGGTGCGTCTTTGTATTACAGACCATCACGTGTTATAAATCATGTACCATGTGCGCGTGTGTTGATATTTTTATTCTCACCTAATTTTGTTAACATCTATATTTTAGGATATCAATTATCTGTGTCTTAGGATAAATGGTGCGCGTCATGAGACATACTGAAAAAATTCTTATCCCGTTTTAAGACAGATACAATTTAAAAATAAAAATGAATTATATTTATAATATAATTATGAATTATATTAAGAATCTTTCGTATCGTTTCAAGCAGTGCTATCGACGCCATACGTTTTTTCGTTCAATGATAATTTCTACGATTTTCTTTTTTTCTTCACATTTATGCTTTCTAGCTACAGCTTCGATATATGTACATACATATTGATATATTCGTATCATCCGTTATTTCAGGAAAATTATATACAATGATCTTGTGGCTATCACACCTGAACAGTATTTCAAGCAGATTACGAAGCGCGTTGCCGAGATCAAAGCAGTATCGGTATGTGTATAAATCGGTATAAATCGGAAGAATTTTGTGATTCGAAACATTAGTCAAATGTTCTCAAAGTCAGTGTTTAAAAAGCCTATTTTATCTATAATTATCTATAATTCATATCAGAAATCATATGGAAATTCTGAAATCTTATTTATAATTATGTACAATACGTAATATAACATATTTAACAAATTAAAAGTGCTCACTTGTGTACATCAAAATGTGCATATAAATGCGTAATATGTAAAATTATAAATAAAATTTTATTTTGTGGAATTTGAAACATAAATTTGCAGATTATTTTAGAAGATTTAGAAAAATATGTAATTTAATAAATGTTTAATTTGTTTTTTAATAAATATCATTTTATAGAGTCCAGATGAACGTGGTATCATTGTACAAATGCTCGAAAGTGGATATCGATTCGTGCTTGGTTCTATTGGTGGAGGTTTGTATATAAAAATGCCTCTTTTCCTTTATTTGTGATTATAGCGAATTGATACAATGTCTGTTATCATTATTACATAATATATAATTTATAAGTATAAGAATGAAAGTGAAGGAAGGGATTTTTCATCTTTATCCATCTTTAAATTGGGAAAAAATTTATTCTGTAAATATACATATACATTCTGTAAATATACTGTAAATATACACACGGGCATGCATGTGCCCGATAGTAACCGATTACTAACCGATCTTAGTAAATTGTTTATTGTTTTTTAATCAAGCGCAAAAATGTAGCGAAATTAAAAATTTGCCTACGTTAATAGGGATTATTGATATAATAATACAAACTTTTCGGTTTGAAGTATAAGTTATTGTCAAGTGTATATGTGTATATTAGTACAAGTGTATATTATGATTAATTATTAATTGTCTAATTAAAACCTTTTCATTTTAATTATTGATTATCGATGTTATATCACATTTTACTCGCTTTATACGTATATTAGTTATATAACTTTTGTTTTAATATCCGCATGTGATATTATATAAATCTTATAATTGATCCATACGCGAATGATGATAAGTTTAAAGTTTTTCTATAGGACGTGCGATTTAGAATTAAGATGATTTAATATTTTTTTATTATTAAGACGCACCTAAGCGCTGTTTGAGGCAAATATTTAAATAATATTAAATTTTTTGAATCAAATAAAATAATTCGTTAAAAAAAAAAACAAAGCGATTATATATATTTTTTTTAGCTGTTGGTGCTACAACTGTATATCCTATCGACTTGGTGAAAACTAGGATGCAAAATCAAAGGGCTGGATCTTTTATAGGCGAACTGATGTACAGAAATAGCTTTGACTGTTTTAAAAAGGTTGGCATCGAAAAGTCTCGTCGTGTAACACTTTCTGCATTGTTAATCATGAAGCTGGTATTTTGCGTTTGACAGGTGATCCGACATGAAGGCTTCTTCGGTCTTTACCGAGGTTTGATGCCTCAATTAATGGGAGTAGCTCCGGAAAAGGCTATCAAACTTACAGTTAACGACTTTGTCAGAGATAAATTTATGGATAAAAATGGAAATTTACCACTTTATGGAGAAATAATATCTGGTGGCTGCGTAAGCATTTGATATTCTTTGATATTTCTATATTTCCTTCTTAAAGTTTTCAATTAAAACCTGTAATTGATGTGAATCTTAGAACGAGATACAAAATAAATAAATGTAAAATTACAAGGAACATTTAATTTATTATTTTTTCATTTATTTTTGATTGGAATAATGAAATAATATAACAATAGTAATTCAGATAGTTAGATATATACTTATTATACATTTCGCTAATTGAAAATGAATAAAGGGCTTTTATAATAAACGCGATCTTTTCGCAGGCTGGAGCATCTCAGGTCATATTCACAAATCCTTTGGAAATAGTCAAAATTCGATTACAAGTTGCTGGCGAGATCGCGGGAGGATCCAAAGTTAAAGCATGGACTGTCGTCAAGGAATTAGGCCTTTTTGGATTGTACAAAGTGGGTACAAAAAATAATAACAATCTTACTGACATTCATCGTCTTCTCTTATAAGTCAGAATGGCGATCGCAATTTTCTTATAGGGTGCAAGAGCTTGTTTTTTGCGAGACATACCATTTAGCGCAATTTACTTTCCTATGTATGCTAATACGAAAGTGCGATTGGCTGACGAAGGAGGCTATAATACGCCATTGTCACTTCTCGCTTCCGGCGCGATTGCCGGCGTACCTGCGGCAGCGCTGGTCACTCCCGCGGACGTAATAAAAACGAGATTACAGGTACGTCTTTTGTGCATTACGATACAGATTATCCGATATGTGACGGAGTTTTTATAATTTGTCACATGTATTTTAGGTTATAGCTAGAGAAGGCCAAACCACATACACTGGACTATTAGATTGCGCGAGGAAAATTTACAAAGAAGAAGGTGCCAGGGCATTCTGGAAGGGTGCGACAGGTATATTATTTTATTTGATACAAATGAAGTTCTTGAATCAATTAATATTTTCACTCCTGTATGCACATTGGGAAATTTTTCAAAAATTTACAAATGTTAATATATCATACTTTATATATGCTAATTGGACAACATTGAAAGAAAGAGCTGAGAAAGGAATCTTGTTTTCTTTCTTCTTATTTTTATCATAACAGATTTCTCTGCTTTTCGAATATAATCGAATTCGAATATAAATGTAGTCTTTGTAAAATAAGTATAATTAAGTAGATTATAAATTATTTATTTCTTAAAAAGTGGAAATGAAACGTGAGGTCATCATGGTTCTATTGTTACAATTTTAAATTATATTATTAGTAACATATTTTGCTTTGGTCGATTGCACGCGCGGGGGATCGACCCTGCTACATCTTTCAACCTTATTTCCTCCCTCATATGATCCGGCGATTTACTTATCAGTAAGTACCTCTTCGTCTTCCTTTATGGTTTACATCTGTGTTCTCGTTTTCCCAATCTGCAGTAAACACACTTAGTCTTTGTATTTCAAAATGTTTATCAAATATAACGTTTGATTGTTTCACATCTTATATGCATTCTTTAATAATTTTGAAAGTGCGAGTCGATACGATACAACGTATATATGGTGTATAATCGAAATCTTATAGTATTTTCGTCGAAAATAATTATAGTGTGTTTTTATTAATGATATTAATCCTTTGTGAACGGGTCTGTCTACGAGCATCACTATGGACGAGGGATATCTGCGCGTGTAATCGAAAGGAAACACTTGTCTAACGTATATGTTATAAAAGTTAAAAGCTTTATTATATACAACAAAATGTGTTTTTATTTGTAAAAGAGTATGTGTAAAACTGAATATTACATTACTATTACTGAAAACGATAGACACGCACAAGCGACTATATGTCGACGCGTATCCGCAAAGGGTTGTGTAACACTTCCGATTCGAGAAAAAAAGAAGTAAATGTTCATTTTTTACTATTTCACATAGTTATATGAGAAGAAAAATGTTTATGGGAACAAATAATACTTGCCAAAATGTTTATGTGCGCACAAGTAATGAATTAATGCTATTATATGTACTATTATATGTAATATATGAATTATGCTATAAATTTCTTATGCTATGTCGTATCATATCTCATTTTGGATTCTTGATCGTTGACTGGCACTTTCTCAATTTTGTCTAATATTTATTTACAGACATCTCATAAAATTAATCACAATTATAAATAATAATTATATCTGAAAGAAAATGGCCAGAAATTAAAACTATTTGATCATGATTTTAATATATAACTATTATACACTTTTTAAAATGTTTTGTTTTACATTACAAATGTTATGTTTGTCAATATGCTTGTCATGAAACGTGCCTAAATCTTTATTTGGACAAAGAAAATGGAATTATGCGCGCATGTTTGAAACTATGAATGTATTTCTTGTATTAATATAAACTTTTTTATTCTTACAGCTCGAGTGTTCAGATCGTCACCTCAATTTGGTGTCACTCTCTTCACATATGAATTACTGCAAAGATTGTTTGTTGTTGATTTTGGAGGATCGTAAGTATATAATATAACTCAGCAAATGTAAATAAATTGGAAAATATTCAAAAGTTAATTATTTATTATAATTTTATTTATTATAATTTATTATAATTAGCTATTAATGGTACTTATGACAGCTATAATAATACTTATCATAGCTATAATTGATTTAATAAATCTGTATTCACGATTTGATAGAATATTTATAACACATCGGTATAATGATGATTTTTATTGATTTTTAATATATTAAAGAGAGTGATAATAATGTACATTACATAAGCTATTACAAATCAAATCAAATTTTTTTCAAGCAATTATGCAAATTCTTCTATATATCAATTTGATTTACAAACTTATAATGACGCTTGTTTACAGTCGACCTACCGGGTCAGAACAAAAGGTGCCTACGATGGGAGTTGCAGAGGAAATTCGATCAACAAACCCGGATCATATAGGTGGCTATCAAGTAGCTCTGCCCATCTTCACGGGTATAGAAACCAAATTTGGTCTTTGCCTACCCAGATTTCAGGTTATTACTGAAAAGTAACCAACAATATTGTTAGCGTAAGAAAATAAGGTTGTAGCAATCTCTGCCATAAATAATCTACGAGAATCGGGCGTTGATTGTTTAGCTATTTGTGAAGCGGATGTGATGCGCGTGAGCTTCACGAACTACAAATTTCGCGTTCCATCTTCTCAACGATCATCTCGGCCATTTTGGTACTCTGCAGACTATATGAAATTGACGTAAGGAGAAAGGATCATCGATTGATACTAATTGATATGTATATGTGACATGTACATACATTGTATAGGATCACAAAGCGCAATCATAGATTGATCGAGAAGTACAAAATCCGTCGTTGCGGAATGCCCAAGAATATTCGTGATAGCTAAGTCGATGCAGTCAATTGACATAGGAACAACACTGATGGCATTAAAATTATTTATTTTGATACTATATAAATGTGTTATATCAAATTGAAATGCCATCTGTATGTAATTGTTTTCCAGACAGACAGACAGACAAAGAGAGAGAGAGAGAGAAAAAGAAAGAGAGAAAGCGCAAAAGAACATTTATCGATTTGTTATTGCTAACTTGAAACATTTTTGCTGCGCATATAGTAATCAATTGAATGTGTGTTCGTTAAATCACAAACGATTAATGCCAACGAATATGAGTGTGATCTTTTAACAAGAATTACACCCGGTAAAAAATTTTTCATATAAAGCATATGTAAATATATACATGTATAAATACACACACACACACACACACACACACACACACATATATATATAATATGAAATATGTCTGTGTTCATATTAGATTCTTTTATAAGATTTCTGTTTAGTATAAGAAAAATAATAGTAATAATTAAAAAATATAACAAATAATTAAAAGACTAATTTCGCATTATTTCTTTTGAAAAGTTAAATTTCAAAAAAATGAGAAAAAATTGCCCATATATAATCATATATATTTATGATTAAAAGTATATATATATATGGTTATGTTTTTTTTATTTCTTTAAACTTAATTTTTTTAAAGAAACAATACGAAATTTTTTTCAATTATTTTTTTATGTTTTCTCATTATTACTATTATTTTTCTTATATTAAACAATCGAACAGAAATTTTACAAAAGGAAGAAACTAATATGAACATATATGGATATATGGTATATAATTATATATATTTTAATATATTTATATATTTATGTATATTTATATATATTTATACATGTTCTTATATAAAAAATTTTTTACCGAGCATCTGCGATGGCCCTGTCATGTACGTATCATATATATTTATAAAGCTCAGAGTAGTAATAAATTAGGCCTCTGTTACATTTATTGTTTATTCGAATGCCTAGCTAAATAACTGGTGGATAAAAGCTAGTAAATCTGTTTTCAATTCGTCATGCAACGGCAAAGTAATTGTCGATTGTAACAATATTTATGTACATATACAACTATGAATGAAAGAAAATAGAAAAAGAGAGATGATTGATAATATTATTATTATCAATATTTATCTATTGAACAGGATTATTAAAATAGATTTATTACATTCTATTAAATTAAAGTGAATAATTTCTTCAAACAATAACGTAAATTAAACAAGTTCTTTTTTTCTAGGCGTAATTGGAATGCAAGTAATTTTTGATTTTATCTTAACATAGAAATAACAAAGGAATAGAAATTTGATATAATCGCAATTTTAATTGAAACGAATTTATTGGCATTTAAACACTAGTTTTACAATTATTATACGAATGAGTAGAAAAAAATTTTAACGCACATAATTTCCTACAAATTTTTCGATAATGCCAATTATTAAGAGTATACATTAAAAAGCGTTTTCCTTGTTTTTTTTATTGCAAAAGAATGTATAAAGAAGTAATAAAAAAACTCCGCGAGTATTCTGATTTATAAAACAATATAAAATTTGTTGAATACACGGACTTTTGTTGTATATTACTTATATATCACTAAATTCTTAATGAATTGAGAATACAGGATAACGATTAATAAATAATCATTGTTTATGAGATATATTGAATAAACTTTTTTAAAGCGTTTGAAATTTGTGATACTTTTTAGGCGAGATTCACAATTCCTAGATTATGTTGATCTGGTGAAAATTTTATTTATTATTCATTTGGTTGATCCTGTGGAGTTAGATTTCATCACGATTGGAATGAAGAAGCAATATAAATAAATGAATTTAAATTATTTTCGCGCTTGATTCGAAAATTTTTGTAAAATATCTCTTGAAAGCTCTTTTCACACGGATTCTTTGCACAATTGTGGATTGTATATTTTGTAGAAAAAAATGTATGTACGTATGTGTATGTATATGTGTATATATATATATGTATATATATA